TGCCAAGTTTTAAAAGTATTTTTTCTTGCTTATTTAACATTGTACTTTCCTTGCTTAACCCCCCACGGAAGATTATAAGTAATTGGACAAATTTTATAAAATATATAAAATATACAAGATTATAAGCAAGTATAATACTTAAGACTTTTTCATGATGGCAATGGCTTGTCCTAGTAATTTGAAGATGATGGTGTTACAGTCGTTTTCATAAATATAGTCACACGTGAAAATCACGCATTTTGGACGCGTCTAGTCACAAAACTAAGAAAAATCAAGTATATAGACAATTTCTCCTGTAATTCTTTACAATACAACATGATTAAGTACTTAAAAAAAGTAGACATCTAGCTGAGGAATAATACATAAAAATATCTAAGTTTGCCTTACTATATCTTATAGGAGAGGTCAAATGTTCTCAGATTCTGTATCTTCAATTTGAGTCTGTCCGAACAAAAAAAATCAGTACTACCTCTACACAGAATTTTAAATTTTTTAAGAGGTCCTAAATTAATAATATAGTCTAAGGATTACTCTAAAAAGTTTTTGAGCAATTTCATGAAGAATTGAAGTGACAATAAGTACATTACTATGTAGTATCTATTGATCATGTAAAGCACGTGCAAACTCACGTACACACATCTTTTTTTTTTTACATGAGTCTTGTCTGTTGTTAACCTATGGCAAGAGGGAAAGTTCTTTCTGATGATGCACGCAAAATCATTGTGAAGCTCTATCAGCATGAATCGTTCTCTGCCCAGCAATTGTCTCGTCTAGCAGATGTTCAGCAACGAACGATTCAGCGAATACTGAGTCACTGGAGGGAGACTGGTAGAGTTGAACGAGACGTCTTGCACAGTCGGGGGCGACCAAGGATATTGGATTATGCAGACACTGAGGTGTGTATCAGTCTACTGTATTTTCTTTCTCTTTTCCTTGCTTTCTTTCTCTTTTGCCTTATTGGACCTCTGTGGTATCAGTATCTGCTTGGTTCAGTGGACCGTCGATGCGACCTATTTTTATTGGAGTTGCGGGATGAACTTTGCAATGCATGTGGCAAGGAAGTATCAGATAGTACGGTGTGGAGAGCTTTGCGTCGAGTAGGATTCACAATGAAAAGGGTAAGTATTAATATTTTACGAGTAAAACAGCAGGAGGGAAAAAAACCAATAGATCTCAAGGAGGGCAGCCGAGCGCACCGAACTAGAACGTACTAGGTACAGGCTTATGATGGGTGAAATGGCTGATGACGAAGAGAAGTTAAAAAGAATCACCTTCATCGATGAGAGTGCTTGTGATCGTCGTACATTTCTACGCAAGGAAGTATGGGCTCTGCAGAATCGCCAAGCCACTCGCAAACAAGTTTTCGCCCGGGGAAAACGGTACCATCAAACTGTATTCACTGTTAATTGTACTGACCGTCTTTTCAGGTTCTCCATCCTTCCTGCAATCACGCTAAATGGCATGCTCGAATGTTCAATCATTGAAGGTGCTTTCAATGCAGCATCGTTTCTTGAGTTCATCAAAAGAGTTGTAGACCGTGCAGAGCAAGGATCTACCTTGGTCATGGATAATTGCTCGATCCATAAATCACAAGAAGTAAGGGATCTGGTAGAATCAAGGTATGCAGACTTACCTTGCTTGTTATTGTTGTACGATTCCTAATCCCAAGCGCCACCATCATAGAGGCATGAAACTTGTATTTCTGCCAGCATATTCGCCTGATTTCAATCCGATCGAACTTGCTTTTTCTCTCTTGAAGAAACGTCTCCGACATGTAGCACTGGAAGGAAATGAAGGTTCTGTGCTTCAGCAATTGTACGGGGAGGTTATGTCGATAAGTGCTGAGCATTGCCGAAACTTTTATCGACATTGTGGATACATTCGCTGGTAAGCTATCTGTCCATTTTCGTTTGAAGCTGCTCTAACAGAACAATAGATGTCTTAGTACGTATTAAGGGCTTGTTGTAATCGACTGTACCTGTAGTTACCGAGGCATATTTTGCGCCAATACGTGGAAATTACACGTCTATCGAAGGTTGTCCAATTGCAGATGTCCATGACGTTCATGCTAAGTCCAAGAGTTGGAAGCGAAGAGCCTAGGTCGTTTGCAAGCTTTGCAGCATGTATATTGAGCTGCACCTCAGTGTGGTCCATGTCAAAGCAGATGGCGGTTCGAGGAAGAGAGGATCGTCTTTGTGAATGCTGCGGCTAACCCCTATACTGGCTCCTTTCGGTAAATACCGATCCCCTCACACTGGTCATCTAAATACCAAAGCCAATACATTCAGTGGTAGGACATGATTATTACATAGGCACAACGTATATACGAGAGTGCAAAGACATAAGTGGCAGCATGACTGATATCCAACATGGAGTGTCCCTTCAAGACAAGACCGGTCAGTCATCCCCTGCTGCTACCCGGTACCGGCTGCCCCGTCTCCTTCTTCTTCCCCTTCCTCCCCTTCCTCCCCTTCCTCCCATCCCTTCCACCAGCCGACCCTTTGCCTTTATCCGTCTTCCTCTTCTTATGAAGAGGATTGCCGTGTATGTCGTAATCGTAATAATCCGTTGTAAGGTGCCCGTGAAGTTGCACTAATTTGACGGCAATGAGATCCGCTTCTTCCGGTGTGAAAAAGCGCTTCAACGTGGTTCTGTTGTCCAGGGCCTTCAGCCATCGATACGGCATGGGAGGATCCATCCTCACGTGTGAAGGATGAGCCGATTCAGACCATATGTCCCTCAGACGCCAGCTCTGCACGATGATGCGTTGGAATAGAACGTTGTCTTTCAAGATTTGCAGTGCGCGAACTGCGTCGGATGCCCTCGTAAGTAAGTCTCTCACCTCCACATGCTTTATCTTCGCTTTAATATCATATTCTGATGCTGTAAGTCCAGGCCCTTGACCAGGCAGACCAGGCGAAGTTGACATTGGTGAAGTTGGAGTAGCTGGCGTTGCTGGCGTAGCCGGTGAGGTCAGATGCGACGATCCTGCTCGTTCGAGGTGTGTCGAAGCTGATCTCAGGCTCGTGGATTCGGAATCGTGCTGTTTCAACATCTGAAGACCTGAAGAGACGGTCCGACGGAAACTCTTAGGCGTTGACGGTTCCTCGTGGATCGGATACTGTTCGAATATCTTGTTCGCTTGCCTGTGAAGATTGCCGATATACATTGGCATGATGTTCTTCCAGCGTTGGATGGTATTCCATGCGATTGTCCTGTGCGTCCTAACCATCATCTCTCCATCCAGGGCAGACCTGTACATGATGTTCATGATTGGTCCGTCGGCAATCTTTTTCCAGAACGAAATCCAATCGAGTTTCCCATCGTGTTCGGACAGGAAAGGGTTTGGTGGCTCATGATGAGCGGGTTCTGGCTGGGTTGGTAGAGCATATGCTATGGGCACCTGAGAGACTGTTCCAGGGAACTCGCCAAATGGAGACAGTGGCAGTTCTTGATCGTACAAAGCATCACCAGGTCCAGACATTTGCTAATAAGGTTGTGCGAGCTGTTGATACGCAGGATGTCCAGATCCTGGAGGCAGTTGTGAATATGGTTGAAATCCAAGTCCTGGCCCTTGCGATTGATACGGTTGTATTCCAGAGACTGATGCTTGCTGTCTTGGCTGTTGGAAGGTGAATTGTCCAGATGGCACAACTGGTGCAAGTCCTGGAATTGGCACCTGACTATAAGGCAAGTTGGGTGTACTGCCTCTGTCTGAGGCACTCGGGCCTTGGTTCTTGCCTGTCACAGTACCTTGATTGAAAACCGCCAGGAAATGGACCATGCCCTTGTAAAATGCTTGACAACCCAGATCAACTGTCTGTCAATGTATAATATCTTCATAACCTTCGGCATTCTATGCCCCAAACCATGTAATTAGCATTAAATAGTATGAATATAGAAAAAAATCGTTTACCTTCTCTGTAATCACCCAGTCGTATTGTTCGTAATGCAGGCTTGCTTCAGCACAAACATCTTTGACTTGCATGCTAACATCTTGCACTTGCTCTCCAATACTACACACCTCTCCACAAACATCTTCAACTTCTTAATGCACCCTGTTTTGGAACGTCTTGAGCTTGACTTCCAGACTATCAATTTGTCAGTCAGTCGAATCTTGCAATGTCTTCATTTCATCCTGCATTTGCACCATAGTAACTTTTCTTGCCACTACTATTGTACACATCTTCTGTGCAATGTCTCTGCACGCTTGACTTTCTGCTTCCGGTTGTTGTGTAAGCACAGCAACATTGATGTCATCTTCAGTGGTATCAACAAGCTTCTTGACGTGTTTGCCTTTGGGAGCTGCAAGCAGCAATAGGGATGAAAATTCAGAATTGTTAGATCTAGAAGACAAATCACTGGACTGACTGTCAGATGAGAGGCTGTAGTTTGATCCTGGAGACCATCCACCTGTGTCTATCAAGTCCTCTACAAAACAATCAAACGTTGTCACTTGGTAATAAGGGTGAGGCAGTTACTCACCTTCTTCAGCTGCAGCTTGATTGTGAGACGTCTTGGGCACAGGCATGGCTAGGGATCCTGCTTGACTCAGTTGGGGGGAATATATGTAGGGGACAGGACTTCTGGCAGTTGAAGCATGCTGGGCCATCATGGCTGCAGGAGATGATAGTGGTTGAATACAAAGTGAGAAGACGTGGCCCACGACTCTCTCAGTCTGGGTTAGATTGGAATTCTGGCCTTGTCCATTTCAAGATCTCTGATCCCCATACATGGTGTTTGCACAAGACCAGGACCATTGCATCTTGTAGCTATGCTCTGCAATCCACATCCATCACAATACAATCACAACATCTAAATTGCTTAGCAAATGCTGTAACAAGCTTGGCTTGCCTATGCTTACAAGGATGCATTCAAATTATAAAAACAAATGCATCTCTTTTGCTTTTCTTCTGCTGCTTGCTCACCTTTTGCAAAGATGATGGAAATGCCCTGACCATGTACTGTGAAGAAGTCTGTAAAGCTTGTTGCTACAGAAGAAGCAGAAGCAACCAGGAAGGCCTCAAAAACTAGCAAACAGACTTGTGGTCAGCCCTACAAGGCTAACATCCTAGCAGTAGCAGAGCAAACACTAGTGTGAAATCAAGCACCAGGGATCCAAGGAAAGAAAGTAGACATACTAAAAGCAGGCCATCAGCATACAGTACAGTCTAAAGTAAAGAAGGTGAGTATTCAAATGTATGATTTAAAACTTGGGACTTTAACTCTTGTTCTTTTAAGCATAGACAAAGCTTCATGTTAGTAGTGAAGACAGTAGCATTAATGCCATTGACAAGGATGCTCCTGTGGATGTCTCAGTCTTTGACATCACTCAAATTGTGAAAAGTAATGGTATTAAGCAGGACTCTGAAGTTTTAGACAATTTGGACAAAAATAGTACAAGTTCTTGTGAACTTCACTCATCTACAAATAGTAATAGCAGTATTGACTTTGACCTAATTGGTAAGTCATTTTACTGTGTATTAAAGTATGATTTCATTTTATTTTTGTTCCAGAAAGTGATAGGCTTCACTTACTATTGTTTAGGAGGGCTAAAGTATATAGCTTGTTGACTTTGACCCTAAAGCCTCTCAAGGACTCTGTTGAGATAACTGTCAAAGTCTCAGATAGTGTTAGCACACACAATATGTTTTATCAACTCAACTATAACCCTTACTAACCTATTGTACAAAGTGACAGAGGTTATAAGAGGTACATGTGTAATTCAGACTCTTGGGTACAAAGCACTATAGTGTAAGAAAGTTGGTTCTAAAGTAGAACCATATTACCTGGATGGTTAGAAGGCTCTAGATGATTTCTTCAAGTCTGTCACAACATTTCATAAGGGTAATAAAGGCAAAAAGAAGAAGGTTGGGGACCTAGAGATCATCATCTATAATCTCAGGAATACTGTGAGTCTTGTGTATTCCTCCTCCCTAGTGTCTCATTGTTATTGTCATGTAGACTGTCTCTATAAAGCAGCCTAACAACTGGAAGAAGCTCTAAATGAAACCATTTACTATAACAGTAATAGACAATGTAAGGGAACAATACAAGGAGAAACTCCAAAAGATTGCAAGCCAGATTGTTGCACATTTCAAGTGTAACAAGTATGACAGTGCTTTGTGTACTAGGATCAAGGGTAGGCATGAGTACATTCTTTACACTCATTCTGATGTTACTGAGCATACTAAGCTTGTAGTGCATTGTATAGAATTACATGGATATTAACATATATTGACCCACTTCTTAGTACAAGAATGCTTCTAGAGTAAGCATTAGTGAGCTGCCTGAGTAGCTGAAACTACTTGATAGGAAATCTGATAGAGACAAAGCTTCAAACAGTAGTAAGAAACAGAATTACAGTAACACAATTGAAACTGAATCTGAAGGCAAAGCTCAGGTACTAAAACAAACTGTATCTCACAATATTGAGCCAGCTCATTGTACAGTATGTGATTTTCCAATAGTAAAAAGATGGCTTCAGTCACTTATAAAGGATTTGAAACAAGAACATAATAGTTTTGATTATGAATTGTTAGGAAATGCATTCACAAAGTATAGGATAATGCAACTTGATGACATAAAAGCTCTAGATAAAGAAACACTGTGGAATATTGTAGCTGAGGAAGGAGTAGAGGTTAACATTAGACTGGTCTTATGTATTACTTAGTATATAGTAGAAGATACTAAGGAATTTAAGTATAGATCTTCAATCTAATATAATGTAACTACACATCTTAGCTCTTAAGTAGTTGTAAAATAATATATGACTCTATAAAGTTGATTTGGAAAGATCAAACTAGATTTTTACTTGTTAGGGTATACACTAAGACAATACTACAGTTCAACAGAAGTCATGTAATATACAAATACTACTCAGAAATATACTCACTATAACTTCAATTCTTCATGAAATTGCTCAAAAACTTTTTAGAGTAATCCTTAGACTATATTATTAATTTAGGACCTCTTAAAAAAATTTAAAATTCTGTGTAGAGGTAGTACTGATTTTTTTTGTTTGGACAGACTCAAATTGAAGATACAGAATCTGAGAATATTTGACCTCTCCTATAAGATATAGTAAGGCAAACTTAGATATTTTTATGTATTATTCCTCAGCTAGATGTCTACTTTTTTTTAAGTACTTAATCATGTTGTATTGTAAAGAATTACAGGAGAAATTGTCTATATACTTGATTTTTCTTAGTTTTGTGACTACACGCGTCCAAAATGCGTGATTTTCACGTGCGACTATATTTATGAAAACGACTGTAATGCGTTTAGACAACAGTTCGCGTTCACGAATGTCATGCAATCTGTTTATTTTTTAGAATGAGACGTTGCTAACTCATGTAAATTCTCTTCTTAAGAGATCTATTGGTAGTAATACAGAAAACCGCACCAGACAAATGTATGGGTTGGGCAGAGGAACTTCTATCAATGGAGCGTGAGTGGGCAAAGCAAGCAGGCTGGGTGACGAACGAACTAGTCTTTACAATGAAGACGTGGTTGTGTGGTGTAGAGATATGAGGCCTGCTTAGGGATTCTATCAATTATAGAAGCAAATCGAAAAGAACGTCGGTTGTGTGGTCTAGAGGTATGATACCTGCTTAGGGTTTCTGATACAGAGGATCGAATGCAGGTGGTCCGGAGTTCGATTCTCCGCTCAACCCATTTTTCCCCCCAAAAAAACCAATTTTTTCATTGCGGTAGCAGAATAAGCCAATACATTCACTGTACGATATATAGTGTTGCATAGTCTGATGTGAAATTTTCGCTCTTCCAAATCACTCAAGTGATAAGTATCTCACAACGCTATGACACGACTACCAAAGTTTTTTTCATCGTCCGGCATGGAAAACCCGTATATAATCCTAATCATGTCAAGAAACTAGCTACATTAAAAGACGAGTGCTACGTAAAAAGTGGAAATAAGAGTCCGTAGAATGTCCAAATGTCCCTAGTGGAGGCATCTCATGCATCAATCCAGAGGCCAGCCCTCTTACCAGCGACGCGGGAGGTGATGTAGCGCTTTTTCGCGTCGGAGCTGCGAGCGCCGAAGGCCTTGCCAAGCTTGCCGAGGAATCCACCACCCTTTCCACCGGTTGCGCCAGTAGCGCCAGTTGCTCCAGTTGCTCCAGTTGCTCCAGTTGCTCCAGTTGCTCCAGTTGCTCCAGTTGCTCCAGTTGCTCCAGTTGCTCCAGTCGCACCAGTCGCACCAGTTGCACCTCCAGCAGTTGACCCGGTGGTCGATCCTGCTGGTGAGGCTGCGGGAGAGGCAGCTGCTGCAGGACTGGGGGACAGCGTACATGTCAGAAGTGGAAGACTGGAAGAGTGAAAGGACTTACGCTGCTGAAGTGTCAGCTGCTGCGGTTGTTGTGTTCCTAACAAGGCAGACTGATTAGACATTGGGAGAATGACAGATGACTTCCTTGACTTACCCTGCTCCTGAGCCACTGTTAGTGACAGCGACGCAAGACCCGAACGGACCAGCAATTGCGCTGTTGCGGCACCTCATGATGCAGGCGTCACCATTAGGGCCGCCAGCGCATTGCATACCTCTACAACAGAAATATAAAACTTTGATGAGATGCAATTAGTTGAAGTGGATAACAGATGACATACGCGGGCATCTGGGCAACGAGTTGGAAGTCCTTCGCTACGGCCCCGCTCAAACTCGCAAAGCCAGGTACGTTCTGAGAGACCGTCGCGTCGGTGAATGTCTGTCCGCCATCAGCAGAGACGTCACACTTGTAAGGTCTAGTAACAAAGTAGCATATGTCAGATTTGAAGCGTCGTATGAAGAGATATATTCTTTACCCAGCGCCGTCCTGGTTGACCTGATGGAGAGTCATGGTGACTGACCCATCTGCTGCTGCAGACGGGAGTCCAGCCTGAGACGCAGCTAAAATTATGTTAGGTATTTCGTCGAGGGATACTGTTAGCCACTCCTGATCATACCTGCGAGTTGTGAAGCAACGTCGTTGTTTCCTCCTGCCTTAGTCCTTCCGCATACACCAGTCTTACCTGACTGGATCTCGTTGTTGCGGATGACACTGGTGTCTTGCTGTTGAGACGAAGCATTCAGCACGTCGGACAGAATATATGCAACATTGTTACTAACCTCAAAGGGAACAGGTAAGCCTCCGTTTCGGGGAGTGGAGGCAATTATGCCAAAGCTGTTGTTGATGATATAGTTTAGAGAACAGTATACTGGTGTGAAGTGAGTAATACTGACCCTGCGCCATTGACGCCGTTTGCACCCTGCACAGCAGTAATGGTGCCGTGTGCATCTACTCTACTGAGGAAAAGAGCGCAAAGTGCAAGAGAAGCAAGTTGGTATTTGAAGAACATGGCGAAGGGAGCTTGGACCGGCCTAATGTGTCATGCATGAGTATAACAATCTGAGAAATAGTAAAGAATTCGACTCACCGCAGAAGAGACGAGAGAAAACCTGAGTGGAAAGTAAATGGAGCGCCTGGCTCAGAGAACACGAAGTAGACTAGAGTGGGTTAAAGTTACTAGTGCCAAGAGACCAGACTTTATATGTTCTTGCAAGACTGCATATGTCAGACATAGTGACAAGAAAAACTGGTAGGATCCGTTGTTCTAATTTTGCACATGTGCATAAAATTGCCTCACAACAGCTACTAACTGCACAGGATCTGACCCGAATACATTCATGTCGGAAGATTGAGTGAGCAGGGTAGTACGACAGAAAGGACGATGATTGGGTACATCAGGAGGCGAGGAGCATCAACTGCATGCGTGGGATGACAGATTGGCAACAAGAACTGGAGCCGTGCGCGAGAAGCCTTGAAGGCAAAGAGACGAACAAGAGATGAGTGACATTGGAAGCGGATCGAATTGTTTGCGTGCAAGGCTGTTCGGGTGCAGTTGGCAGACAAGTCGAGAGAGAAGGAAAAAGAAGGTTGATGCAGGTGATGCAGAATGTGATGCAGTGATTGCCAGGAGTCTGTTTCGGAAAATAGATCACCGACGGGCGCCGCACTACATTCACTCATTCACTGCCGCTTCCGTTCATCCAAGTGCCGCCGCACTTCGCCTTGTTCTACCCCTCGCTTCCCGTTTTTCCCATCAACATCCAACAACGACAACGACGGCCATGGCTGACATCGCTTCTCACCCCTTTGGAAACCTCAGAGTGGCTCCAGTCGAAGAGTACCGCAAGCGCAAGGTCGCACTTATCTCCGGTCCGTCCTCATGGTCTTAACAAAATTTTGTCGCGTGCTAATTTTCCTGCTCGCTAGGTATCACCGGGCAGGACGGTTCTTACCTGTTAGCTATCAATCATTGCATTCTTGTTTGAAATCAACGGGGCTCACTGTAGCCTAGTACCGAACTGCTTCTCGAAAAGGGCTATGAGGTACACGGGATCATCCGTAGATCGTCCAGTTTCAACACAAATCGTCTCCATCATCTCTATGAAGACCAACATGAACGTACGCATCCAATAGCATTTACCATCCTCCACGGTTGCAATCATCAGACTCACACTGTCAATCACGCAGGCCCGAATAAGTTCAAACTGCATTATGGTGACCTTGGCGACAGTACCAACCTTGTGTACATCATCGCCTCAGTTCAACCAACGGAAGTATACAATCTCGGCGCACAATCTCACGTAAAAGTTTCGTTTGAGATGGCTGAATATACCGGTGACATCGATGGCCTTGGCACCTTGCGTCTTTTGGATGCTATTCGTACTTGTGGACTTGAGAAGCATGTCCGATTCTACCAGGCCTCGACATCTGAGCTTTATGGAAAGGTTGTTGAGACTCCGCAAACTGAAAAGACTCCATTCTATCCCCGTAGTCCATACGGTGCTGCCAAGTTATATGCGTTCTGGATTACTGTAAACTATAGGGAAGCATATGGGATGTATGCGTGCAACGGAATCCTGTTTAATCACGAAAGCCCTCGACGCGGCAGAACCTTCGTAACACGGAAGATTTCTCGCGCTGCGGCTGAAATAAAATTAGGCAAGCAGCACTGTCTGTACTTAGGTAACTTGGATGCACGACGTGACTGGGGTCATGGTATGTTTATATGGGAAGTAAATGTTTGAGTACAGTGCTGACGAGTGTACAGCAAAAGACTATGTCGAAGGCATGTGGCGCATGCTGCAGCAGCCCGAACCAGAGGACTTTGTTCTTGCTACTGGCGAGACGCATCCAGTCAGGGAATTTGTTGAAAAGGCATTTGCAGAGCTTGACGTGCACATCAAGTCCGTTGGTTCTATATCATGCATATTCAGGAGCTTACAATGACTATTTTTATCCTTATTTCAGATGGCAAGGCACTGGTGAGAAAGAAGAAGGTATTGACACCAAGACAGAGAAGGTTATTGTAAAAGTCGACCCGCGCTATTTCCGTCCGGCAGAAGTCGAGTAAGTATCTTACTTGAGCTATGGTGCCCTGGGTGCGATACACCTAACGACATATAATTTTTTCTTAGCCTTCTCCTCGGCAATCCGGCAAAAGCAGAGTCAAAACTTGGATGGAAGCGTATTGTTGATTTCGACTCGCTTGTCAAGGAGATGGTCCAGGCTGATCTGAAAGCTGCCATGAATCTCATCGAGGATCAAAATTAGGCTTGTTTGAATTGGTATCAGGGCACCAGAACACTTACTGTTATGGCATGGGGTAATTGTTTTGAATGCGAGGTTTCCCGTGTTACAATACGTACTTTGCCCCGTCCAGTCCAGTCCCCTTCCTCTGTGTCATCATTCCTGTGTTTTCTAAAAGGCGATCGTTTCCATCATCCTGGATTTGGTACTTCGTCTGACTCCATAGACACTTTTCTTGTGATGAATTGACGGAATTTCATGAATATATTATCAATTTGACATGACGCGGATCATTCTTTTTTGGCTATGGATCCACTGCAGAGCAAGTCCGAACTCGTGTCATCAGGTTGCCTCTATACCACGACGTTTTCTATGCTTACGAACAGCGTGTCCTGGAGACCGCAAGCTCTTCTACCTTTACTTTCCCGCAGAGTGGGCTATACAATAGAACCAAATCGATGCTGTGCACATCTCAGGCCACGAAACGATGTTGTACGCCAACTCTCGAACAGAGCTGTTCCGGCGTCCATCTCCTTAAAATCCCATCTCGTGCCGTCATGCCAAGTCTTGAACAAGAACTTGTCATTATGTGATTGCATTTTTCTGATTTGAGATAGCTGGACAGTCCATTTTACTCAGGAATTTTGTTTTCATGTAGGTAGAACAGGACCAGTTTCCCACATGTCGAGTGCCTTGCAGTCGAAATACGCTCCAATAAAGGACGACTCACATCCGTCGCTGTTCTATCATTTCTTTGATGACGAAGATGCTATGGTTGCCGGCGGTCCTGCATTTGCACTGAGCTTTCTTGACGACCGGCCTTGGGACGGTATTTCGGATCCAACAATTCTAGGTTGGCTACCAGCTCTGTCTTCGGAGGCGGCAGGGACTGAGTATGGAGGAAGTGGACTCAACGATTTCCACGAGAATGGTGAGTGCTTCAATGTAATATGTGCTCTCCTCCTGCAACATAGTAACACCGACCAAATACGACGGCTCTAGAGGATTTCCTGCTGATCCTACATGCAGTCGTAAAAGAGGCATTACCTGAGGATGAAGTATGGACAAGCGGTGCCATTCAAACGCAGAGTGGATGGATGCACATCTTTGGTACGTCTGCTCCATCATGCTGCTGTTTTATCGGAGACGTCCTTATTCCCCATAATTCTTCCGGGTCCCAGATCAACGAAACCCTCCCCCACTCGGCCGTATACCGGACCCAGACGACATCATTGCTTCTGTTCGCGTAGAGGATGGCCGCATGCTCACTGAAACCTACCAGCCAATGCCGAGTTACCGTCTGTGCACCACTAACGGCGTGTGTCAGCTGACCGATACTCTCATGGACCGGCTTAAGAAGCAACTTAAGCGGATTTGAGAAGAAAGAAAGAGGGAAAATGATTGACAACCGGGACGTGTGCACCGATAAATGCAGAGCTTGGCTTCCTTCAATACGTGCAGGAGACTCGTGCCGCCGTCGGACTTGAAGAGAAGTGAGCGCTCTCCTTGCGGATCGCATCATTCCGCAATAACACTTGACGCAAGAATCCTGCGAATCTAGACAAATAATATAATAGAGAAGTATTCTTTACCTGACGTCATGTTAATCGAATTTTCTGTGTCTTCTGGTGACTCCTTCTAAGCCACGATGGTGCATGAAATATTCCGGCATGTATATTCGAAGCTATTTGAGAAGAAATGGTGTACACCCCATGACTCTTTTTATTCAGCACTTATTACCGGTTTCTTTTCCTGAGCATATGCTCAGGCTGCATATAAAGGCATCGACCAAGGCGATTCCTGCACGGTCAGATGTGGCTGAAGTCTTTCGGGATGTCGTCCGCCATGTTCCAACTTGTATCTGCAATTTGTATGCTATCTTTGTTCGGCGAGGCTCTGTCGTCTGTCGTCTTCCCTCGAGACAGTTCTCATATTGTTGATACCGGCTATGCAAAATTCCGTGGTAACTTCACGGAACCGTTCAGTCTGGCCTTCCTTGGTGTACCGTACGCAGAACCACCTGTTGGTGACCTACGCTTCCGCGCACCAGTCCCGTTGGATACTGAAAAGCTGAAAGGAAATGGCGGTGTCATTGACGCAACTAGCTATCCCAACTTTTGTGTTCAAGGTAGTATAGGAGAAGGTGATGCTGGAGGTGCTGGAAGTGAAGACTGTCTGAAGATCAATATTTACACGCCTGTGAATGCGACTTCAAAGAGCAAATGTAAGTGGTTCCGTCTTAGGTAGCATTGCGAATATTAATATTGTTATTGCTCCTGACAGTGCCCGTTCTATTTTATATTCATGGAGGAGGTACTGGGAGTTATACCTGGTTTATATTTACTCATTCACTAATATTCAGCGTAGGCTATGTTTATGGGAATCCTCGAAACTGGCCGTTCGAACATTGGATCAACCAATCCCCAAATGTCGTCGTAGTTTCCGTGTACTACAGGCTCGACTCTTTCGGTTTCCTCGCACATCCTGATTTCTCGAACCCGTCCATTGCGGATCTTAATGCTGGGATGAAGGATCAACTGCTCGCATTGAGATGGGTGCACGATAATATCGAAGCCTTTGGAGGTGATCCCGATCAGGTGACGATCAACGGACAGAGCGCAGGAGGAGGAAGTGTTGAGATCCATATGATTGCGAACGAAGGCTCTGAAAAACTATTTTCCGGAGCAATTGCACAGAGTGTTGACAGAGAGATTCTGCCGCTTCCAGAGCAGCAGGAGGTTAGCAATTTGCTTGACTTCCCGATTCCGTAGCTAATACTCATTGCATTATAGCCATTGTTCGACTTCTATGCGGAACAGGCGGGCTGCGGAGGTCTGAGCTCTGTTAGCGCTACCGTTTCCTGCCTCCGAAAGGCATCGATAAGTGCCCTAGCCCGCGCTCAAGACGCAGGTGCGTCGTTGTAAGTAAAAACATAAGAATAAAGAAATGCCGTAGCTCTATTGAGACCAATATTCGTCGGCAGCAATGGATCTCTGTACAACAAATGGCGTCCGGTCGTAGACGGCAGTCTGATCCCCGACTATCCTACGAAGTTGCTGGCAGAGGGTAGATTCCTACACGTTCCTCTCATTGCAGGGTGAGCGCTGGCACCCCAGGCGGGAGCAATTAACTTATTGTTGTTATTTATAGAGCCACAAGCAACGAGACCGGGGGAGGAACGAATAATCTCACTGCTGTGTTGCACCCTGCGTACCCTTTGCTAAATGCAGCCGAGCTCGAAAAGTTCAACCAAGTGTATAACCCCGCCCAGTTTTCTTCCGAGGAGGAGTGGATACGCACAGCAACTGGTGAACCGGGGTTGAGATGTGGGGTAAGCACCTTTGCACTGCAGTTTGATGTTGGTATTTTAGATTTAGTGACATGGCTGTCCAGAGAGAAATGATGGGTGCTGCGGGAGTTAAAAACTCCAAGGCTTGGACTTACCGGTACAACCAGCCGAATCCCACGCAAAATGAGCCAGGTATCACAGAGCACGCCGCGGAGAATTGGATGATGTTCTTGGGTACCAATACTGGGTATGCACCAGATTGTTCGCAATAATTTTCCGCTGACTTGCGATATCCTAGTACGAATGGCAGCACTGTATTCACAGGCCTCGACCCTGTCGAGACGGCGTTCAGCGAAGAGCTGATAGCCTACTGGCTCTCGTTTGTCCGAACGAAGGATCCGAACACATTCAAACTTGAGCGGTCGCCGTTCTGGCCAGACTTCTCTACCAACAAGAGGGCCGTACTGCAGCAGGACCAGCAGAATGAGACACGGGCTAGTAGTATTTTCGTGGAGGAGGAGGATGCAGCCAAGAGTCGATGTGCATTTGTAGCGTCAGTAGTTGAGCATATGCAGGATTAGGCAATTGTATTACGTACACGAAATATACCTGTAATTGTGGCCTCTCCGCGTGTCAATCTCAATCTCAGTTCAACTCACTGACCCCTTTGTCTGTTGAACGAGTGATGGCCATTCCACCCTCTCCTACTCTTAGTAAACCATTGCCTGCTCTTCCATCTGCAGAGGCCGGGCCTAGTAAGCGCGTCGTGTCGCCGTCAAATAAGAGGGCTGCGTCGACTTCGCTCTCTGATTCTGAAACGCTGGTCACGAAAGCCATAAAGACGCCGCAACCGATGGTGCGTTCTCTGAAAGTGGGCTCTGCAAAGTTAGATGCGCATAGGAGAAAGAGGAGGAAGAAAAGGTTTTCAGTAACGAGAAAAGTGCTTAACGCTTCAAGATCATCTCTTGCAACCAGTAGCACGATGTCGTTGAAGGTGAGTAAATGAATTCCGTGTCTCCTCTGCGTCGTACTCACCTTACGCGCCTGCAGGGAAAAGAACAGGAAGTTAATGGAACTACGAACAATGAACGACCTAGAGATGATGTTGTAGATGAGAATGCCAGCGATGAACTGGTTTCTTTACGCACGAAGTTTGATCAACAGAAGATAGTACGTCTACTTCAATCGCCACATGTGCCATGAACTCTGATCAAATATTGTCAAGCTTTTGGACGCGCATAAAGAATTTCTGGAGTTGCTTGCACCATCATTGACGTGTCAAATCTGTCTTGACCCAATGTACAGACCATACACATTAGCGCCGTGTGGCCACACAGCGTGTTACGATTGGTACGCGTTTCCCGTATCATCACGTAACATTAGCTAACTTTCGTCTAAGCCTTCTTGCATGGTTTCGAGCTCCTCCAGCGCATATTGCTCAACCTCCTCCGGATCATCTGTTGCACAACTTCGACGTGGATGACCCTACTTTACTTGCTCGTGACACTCCGATGTTGCTCAGGAAAGAGAAGACGTGTCCTCATTGTCGGGCTGTCGTCCAAGAGGCGCCAGTAGAGGCTTGGGGAATAAAGGATATAGTCCACCACCTATTTGATCACAAAGGCGATGTAGCGAAGGAGTTGTATCCGTCACATACTAGACAACGGGAGGGTGACACAGTCCCATCAGGTGCAGAGGCCTGGAATGGGGTCTTCAGACGCGCTCACATTCCTGGGCTGCTAGCAGTTCCGAACAGGAACAGACGCAACAGAGATGATGCCGCGAATGGCGAGGAAGATCAAGGAGACCGGGGCTTCTACGATGAGGAAGACGCTGTGTATAGGTGCACACAGTGTTACCATGAGATCTGGGATGGTCTTTGTACCTCGTGCGGCCGACTTTATCCCGGTTTGCATCGAGATTTCGAGGACGAAGATGACGACGCGGATCCTGCTCATTGGATGGATGCAGACGAGTTCGACGGACTTGCCGATCAAGAACTTGCTGCCATGGATGCAGAGGATGTCAACGGAGAACTAAATGCGCATTTTCGGGGTATAGTGGGTGCACTCGGATTCTATCGTACTATGAATGCTCGGCACGATCACGATGAAGAAGGCGCAGATGACGATGGCTATGAGAGTAGCTTCATTGACGATGGAGAAGAGCAACCTAGGATTGATGAATTCCATTCTGCCGAAGAAGATGGCAATTTCGAGACTGAGGATGAAGTGATGTCCGACATTGTCGAAGATCATAGACCTCGTAGAATTGTTCCTCCCCCTATTGCTCGTGCAGATGATGATTCTGCCGAAGAGGCACGAGGCCGACGACGACTTTCAACGATCAACTTGACAGATTCAGACTCAGACGCATACAGACGTCCGACCAGTTCACTGAGAAGGGGCACTCGGGCCCTTCGTACACGTATAGAATCGGATGATGATGCCGACAGTGATGTGCAGCAGGTCAGACGTATTCGTGTTCCAGGGGGGTCACGAGGCCGCCACGTAGTTATTGACTCAGACTCGGAACATGAAGACCAGTAAGATTGAGTTTGGTCCTTGTCCGGCAGTTAATTGACTCGACTGGTTTCACAGGCACTCTGACGAAGATGCTCACGCTCACCGTCGTGGTGGACTCTATCGTCGTTCATTGTCCGACGAAGAAAGTCTTCAAGGAAGCTTTTCTGAGAACGGGTCTGAAAATGGCAGTGACCACTCTTCGCAGCATGAGTAGGTCCATTTACCCCTTTATCTCCACCCTGTGTTACTGAGGCAGTGATGAACTGAAGTCTTCGTGGTTCAATATCTGGGCTGTCTCACGAGAACTACGAGAACTACGTGTTTTCAGACGAGGAGGATATTAGTTGGTGGAGCTGAATTATTGCTTTATCGAGTGTTCATTTTATTTCTAAATTCCTGTGTAGCTGACTGCCTTGCTTTCTGTGTTACTGCAAATAAATTCTATCATTTATCGAGACCACGAAATGAAACCTGCGTTAACAAAGAAGCACATAATTAGCAACCCCACTTCCCCAGGCTTAGAGGCTCAGTTTTATGCCCTTGTTTTTCTCCTATAAAACCTTACAGCACGAGGAATCGGCATGGCTGCCTGATGGCTTTGTGACTCATGAAACGAAGATGAAATGCTAACGTCCCACGGAGCCCGCAGTTTCACTTACGGGATGCAAAATGTGATTTAATCATTCAACGGCGCTAGAACGTAGAAATGACTCGGTGCAACACAGTTCACGCTTGTTTTCATGAATTGCCGGGCACCTGCTTTCGGTGAGGCATTCTATTGTTGTCCAAAGCCGTACCCCTCGCATGCTAATAGGCTCTGTTGGTACAGGAGCTATTGGTCCCCGTTTGTTGGTGCTGCGGATTTGGGCATGGAAGGCATGTGCCTCTTATGTAGAGGCGATGTGAATGTATCCATCCTGATCACCTCTCTAGCTCCACTTGTTCGCCTTTGAGGATACTATCTACAGAAAATGTATGTACTCGGAACATCCAGAATATTCTCCGAATGACTGCCGCCAGTTGGGAGCAAAGTAAGGTGAGTAAAGATAGTAACGTACGCGGACGGATGGCCGCGTGTTTTTAGGTCAACCAATCGGCACCATGATAGGTATTCCAGCAGCATCGCATGCGGACCCACAATGAGCCATGTGTCGCACAGCCACCGAGGTCCAGTCGATTGACTCGGTCTTCTTAGTGGTCCGATTGGCTTGCAATCACCGCTAACGCAGTTCCGCTTCTCATCAGGGTATAAGCTACGTAGGCTTCTTCCACTTCGGCATTGGACCACGTCGGCTTTGCATTGCATTAGCAATAGGCCTTTGCTCGTTCATGCTTGGCCCCCGAATAGGGACTCAGCGCGGTGCTGTCTTTTTCACGGACGGGCTAAGCACACCTTACGTGCAGCACGATGATGCCGATGCTGAACGGATGCGCGGTCTTAAGAGTGCTCAAACAAATATTGCTGAAAAATGCTGCACAAACCAATGTGAAATTAAGGCAAGTTTTGTCATCATGAGTCGGAGCTTGCTTACCAAGAGGATGGGTAATCCACGGTTACTCACGCTATGCCGCGGCACAACCGAATAGCCGAATCACGGAGTGCCGTACGGATGCCTTATTCGGTAAATAATGTATTACTAATCCGGGGAAGCTGTGTGCATCGCCGAGTCCGGCTCGCTCCGCTTTTCGACCTGCAATTTTCTACAAACATGTCAAGGTACCAAAAATCGCCCGATTCCTCGGAACTTGTTGGAGAGCGCTGTGCACTCGGAAGTGCTGACGATCTTGCCCCCGTTTTCCCAATCCGCCGAGTCATGGAAAAACGCAATTCGCAATCATCGCACCCTTTATAAGGGACATGTTCATGTTCATGACTCGACCCAAACCCATCCCCCGATCCGGCTCTATAAAAGCGGGCCCTCGACACTCAAAACTTTCCGCTTTTCCGATCAACCAAACTTTACAATGGCAGCTGCAGCTGTTGCTCAGAACAACGCGCCTTCACCACACTCTTCTAACAGCGCATCTCCACAATCTCCGACAACTCGACTTGCTGCACCCTCAAACGCGCCTTTATACACTCAAGAGGATGTCGTTCGATTCGTACAAGCTGCCCTTGCTGCGGCATACCGGGATCAGACCGTCGTTACTCAGTCTCGAGCACAGCAAACGCAAATGCTTCAGGAGGAGCAGAAGATAATGAAACCCCGAGTACATATGTACGAGACGTACGGTCTAAAGCGTTCGATGATTGCGACTCTCGAACTGCCGGGTTTACAGAAGAACGACGTTTCCATTACCGCTCGACCGAATGGCGATCTTATTATTTCTGGAGAACGTCGACCTTCGCATCTATTGTATTTGCAGGCTGCTCAGCAACAGCAGGACAGCGAAGAAGGCGAGGTGAAGGAAGAGGAGAAGGAAGTCAAGGGCAGAACAGTGTTCAACGAGCTCAAGTTTGGCAAATTCCAGAGAATAATCCGCCTCCCTAGTGGAACTGATGTAGGTACTTTCGCTTCTCTCACTCACTATCTCATAATAATGATGATTCTTTCTAGCCTGCAACAATAACTGCGTCTATGGATGACGGAATGCTAACTATATGTTGGCCGCTCCCTTCGAATCCGAGTACCTCGGAACAGCGTATAAAACCCGAGACCACGGAAGACGATGCTGAGATGGACGATGTGGATGCGAGGCATTCTACAGTACGGAGCGCTTAAACTCCAACTTTGCAGAACATCTCGGTATCCACAGCCATACTACTTCCAGTCCGTGAACATTGCAATTTCGGTACGTCTCGGTCCTGTTTCATCCTTGTGGCGTACACTTCGTGTTCGGCGTGGCATCATACTTGATGGAGTAAATCAAGGTTGTTCTTGCGATGTCGCATCGGACCAAGTGCATGTGCACCCTTCCGCTTTCTTCCTTCCTTCCTTCCTTCCTTCCTTCCTTCCTTCCTTCAAGCATGTAGCGGAATTAAAGCTGACTAGCGATTCTTTCCGTCCACAGAGACGTCATCACATAGCTTCTAAATGTTCCTTGTCTCTATGTCTGGAATCATTGTTCAGTATACCTGGAGTATTAACTTACACCCCCTGTTTATTATCCTTATTGTACCGACATTCTTCAATTTCTTTGACTTTCCCGAAGTTTTATCGCATGCATGCATGCATACCTGTACTTCCCAAATTCGGATGTAGGTCCCCACACAGACACGCATTGTGCACACACACCCAACTCACTTTATTCTCTGTACACACACACTATAATTTTTGCTGTCGACTGTATCTAGCTGGCTCCCGCATATACGTAGGGGTTTCCTTAACCATCATCATTTTTGGGTTTTATGTTTCATTTTACTGTATCCGTGTACACGTTGCTTTGGACATCTTATTATTTCTCCTGTCTCTGCACTCCAACTTATCTGAATTGGGTAAAATGGATGGTGTCTGTTGTCAGGACCCCTGACGAGGGCCATTCGGTGTCGCTCCTTCTACCTATACATGAGTTATATATAGAGTTTATTTATAATCTACTACTGCTACTATAGAGTATTTTATAGTCTTTAGAACCCGATATAATCTATACTTCTTACAGCTGAACCCTTAACACGCCGTCATGAAGTGTACTCGAGAATATCGGTGGTAGTGCCACTTATCGGCTTTGACCGGAAGCGGATACAGAGCTGCAGATCATGACGGGTCCCTGTACCAACATGAAAACAAGAGATAGGGAAACTACGTAGCTACGGGTTGTGTCGGAAGTAACACCAGCGATATCGCTTCAACACACAAACGCCGTTCAAATGAGATACAGACGAATTGCACCGTGTACGATCAGCGCATTCGTATGTGTACCACTACGAAATGACCCGGTCATTTTTGAATCCTTGATTCTCACCGAATACACTGATACACATCTATCCGGATTCTTTCATCATTTTATGCTGCCAAACACTATTGACAGTACTAATCTAGGCTGAAGGAGATGTAAGTGACAAATTATCACAAAATACAAGTCACAATGAGTTAACACGTCAAGTTGTCTGAAATTCAAATGTTGGAATTAAATTAATGATGGCGACCACTCGGTACCGAAAAGGGCGCTTCGGGCACGTGACAGCATGTACACTGTCCATAGCTAAAAACGGGTATCTGATTAATTTAATAGATATGCCAGGTGTACAAGGTTTCACAGTCAAGGACGACTCAGTGGCACAAGACGAGAGTATATCCTTACTCAGACACTTCTGGCGAAGGTACTGCGCGGTGTGCAAACAATTTTGTTGGGCAGCGCATGCTGTGCAAGCACTACATCTTGGCTCTGCCACACGGTAGGTCTTCTACCACTGCTTGGTTGCCCTCATACAAATTTCAAGGTCAACACTGCCGATGACTTACAGTTCATGCGGGGCAATTGCATATAAATATGCATAGCTTCATAGAAGGCCATTTAACAACATTCAGGTTTGCATCAACAAGTGAAAAAACAGAGATACACAGTTAAAATTACCACTAATATTCGCATAGGTTGTCATCATCAATGCCGTGCAACACAGAGACAGTTTAATCAACGGCCCCGCTAATCTACACTAAAAACTCTGAGTCAGATACTTGTCCAGTATCTAATTCTAGAATTTATTTATCTAAGCCAAATCCTGGGCTTACTAATTATAAAATGGCTAATCCCGACTTGCCGTTTACCATCAGTAATGGCCTACAAATCACCTGCCTATTCTCAACTCTATATACCTACTTACAATAAAATGTAGTTATACACAACACAGATGAATGATTAAGTATTGTGCCTAATCTATTGATAAGCTACACATTGTAACAAACAAAACAAAACCAAAACAAAACAGTGCAGAAGCCACTCATTTTTCTTGTTGAGACAGACTTACGTACAAAAGCTATCCGAGAGAGTTGGGGGGGGGGGGGGTTGGGGTTGAAAGACAAATAAAAGTGAGAAAAACAAAGGGAGAAGGAGAAGGAAAATTCGGATAGCAATTAGTAATAAAGCATCCAGATAGCTGGGGATAGCAAAAAGCAGATGGGTGGGTGAGGAATGTAGGTGTGTCTGCAGTGTGCATTTAGGTAGGAAGTCAGAAGAAAGGGGGCCGAGTTTGATAAGGTGGGCTTTTTTTTTTCATCATCCATTAATATTGACTTATTGAGTTGCCCACAATACTACGCCCGCACAGTTCCACCATGCAAACGTCCGTATATCCTCTCACGACGTTGACGTTTTTTCAATACTCCAAAGTTCAATAATATCTCGCCCGGACCGGGAGTATACAACTCCGATATAATCCGTAACTCTTTCGTAGACTATCCTTTAACACCTTTCATAAAGCATACTTGAGGAGATCGGTGATAGTGCCACTTTAATTTTGTTCACGCACCTTGGCATCGGCTTTGACCGGAAGCGGATTCAAGACTGCAGATCATGACAGTTCCTTTCATCATGAAAAACAAGAGATAGGGAAACTTCGTGGTTACGGGTCGTGTCGGAAGTAACATACAAACATGAGGTATCCCCTTAACACAGAAACTCGGTTCAACAAGGCTCCGATGCACAAAGTGAACTGTACCGTGTACGATCAACGAACTCATATTAGTCTCGTAATAATATTCGACTACGAAATGACCCGGTCATCTTTGAGTCCTTGATTCTCACCAAATACACCGACCGTCCACAGCTATCTAGATTCCTTAGTGATATTGCCGGAAAGCACTACTATGGACTAGGAAGGATCCCAGAAACATATTACCGAGAAATATAGGTCAAAGTGAGTTGACACGCCGTATCCTGGAAAGTTTGCAGGGAGAGATATCAGAAGTTGTGATGCAGACCACTCGGTACCGAATTCGAAGAACGCGCATCAAGCACGTGATAGCACATGTAGGCACTTAGCACCTGGGGCATTTCACAATTCCTTACCTTAAAAAATAACTTACATAATGATAAACATTATTTGAAATTTATTTTCCCATTTTTGACCAGCAAAAATTATAAACAAAATTTAAAACTTTCTTTATACAAAAACTAGAAATTATTGTTAACATTTCTTCATTTGTGAAATCTTGAAATAAATAGAGATAATAATCTAAAAC